GAACGTTCGTCGCGATTTTCTAACCCTGAACAAGAGCGGAGTTTGTAAGGCAAACTGATTTCTCTGTACATTTTTGGTACAGGAAAATTAGCCTGTAGAAGCAATTATTTATCAGAGTAATTCCTCGTTTATTCACTCGCTGGTGTATAGCATGTTTGGCGCGGTATTGCCTATGAACCACCTATGAACAAAAACTCGTTTGATTCCTCTATTGTTTTGAACTATTCAGTTAATAAAGGCTTGTGGCTGTTTTGATGCAGTGTAAGTTGTCGTGCAGTGTTATGAAAAGCAGATTGAACTTTTCAGGCGAGAGAATCAGTTGAAAAATCCAATGTTCAAGTGGTGTGATTTAGAGCTTCTGTTCATCACGTTAGTAGGCGCATACTGTTAATCAATAGCTTCATGCAGTCGAACCGTTCAAGACTCAGTTATTTGAATGCAAAAAAAGCAGTGTTGGCTTCTCCCGGAATCAGTTAATTGGCAATTATTTCTGAATTTTGGTAAATCGAGTATGTTTTTATTTTCTGAATGTCCTCTTCTGATTGGATATAAGTCTAGATGTGATACCATTTTTCCATTTTACCATCCGACGTTTACGCTTCTTCTCGAATTATGTCATTGTTTTAATCGCTTATGCTCCAACAAATTTCTTGTTACATTAAAACGATTTGCGAACTGAACATTAATATTTTAGGGTTTCGACATGAGCGAGTTCGATACGGTGAGCTCACTGTTTTTGAGTTATTTTCTTAGGACTTTTAAAAAATTTGTCACAGAAAAACTAAAAGAGCAAATATGTATTACAGGACCCTACTTCCCTTTATAGCGTGAAAGGTATTGTTATTTTGGATCAAGATGGCAACAGAGTAATTGCAAAGGTATCTGTTCACTCTTCACTTTCATAAGAAATTCATGCTGTCAGCTGAATGGATGTGTGCTTTTGTTTTAGTACTTTGACAAAACGACGTTCGGAACCACAAAAGAACAAAAAGCATTCGAGAAAAGTCTATTCCAGAAAACATCCAGAAACTCATCATGTGAGACTTTCTGACTTTACATTTTTCTTTGAGAAAGCATTTTTTTATTTCGTATGTCTGCAGTACCCCTTTTTCCATTTTTATTTCGTATTCATATGCGACAAAGTTCTGATCATTTGTGACACCTTTTTTGATGCTGGTCTTCTTTTAAACTTATTTCCAGTAGGTTTGAGGATCTGTTGAAATTGAACAACTCTAGCCCTGTGCTTTAATCTGCAGAATAGCATGAAAAATCTCGTCCGCTTTTCCAAACCATGATAACATTTATGAAGTCTCCTTAGTTGCACTAAGCTGTGAATCTGAGGTAGAGGTTAGCGGCTTTGGAACAGAAGAAACTGAATGCGTTGCCAGCAACAGAGCTCTCTTGATCCCTTAGTACAGTACCATGGGTTCTGTCTGTTTTTGGAAGTTTAAAAATACCAATTTCCGGACTAGGCTATTCTCCCGCTTTACTGCCAATGGTGATAATATTATTGCATTGTGAGTCGGATTTCGAGGTGATACTCTCAAATCCTTCCCGTTTTTGATCGTTCGTCTATTCCTAGCACAATCCATGCCACCGTA